GAATTTAGGAAAAACTAAATTACATGCTATACAATGCTATACATGATACATTTTGAATTTGCGTACAAATACAGTATATACATCATTAGCTGTTGTAACCATTCGTTGAAACACATTCGTTGAAACCACTCTTTGAAACCACTCTTTGAAACCACTTTTTGAAACCATTCGTTGAAACCATTCGTTGAAACCATTCGTTGAAACCGTTCGTTGTAACCATTCGTTGGTTGAAAACCACTCGTTGTAACCATTCGTTGTAACCATTCGTTGTAACCATTCGTTGTAACCATTGTTGTAACCATTCGTTGTAACCATTGTTGTAACCATTCGTTGTAACCATTCATTGTATTTGGTAATAATTTAAATAATAAAATGAAAGTATATTGTAAATAAGCACATAATCGTAAAACGAAAAGTTTTTGAGCGGTTAAAAATTTAATTTTTTTATGGCAGAAATTTCAAATGTCAATGCAGAAGTATATCATTTCCTATCAATATAGTTTTTCACGAGGTATTTTGTTACAGAGTCGATTGTAGGATTTTCAAAAAAAATTTTCAGATTCGGAAAATTTACATTACCCCGTACAGATACCTTACCGTTATCGGATGGATCTCGTGAAAACCAGGGAACTACACTTCGGCGCCTGAATATATTTTTTTGTCGATTGTCATCTATACTAAATTAATATTAATCATACTAATAAACAATATAATCAAAAGAAACTAAAGATTTTCAAAAAAAAAAAATCTTATTGTGCTTGGTTTAAGTAATAATTCCAACTTCGTTGATACTTTTGGTTCACACAAAGAACTTTTTGTGCAGATTATTGTTTGAACGATTGTTCAATTAATATCGATATCAAGATATAGATATACGTACTGCACGAGTAATATATATATATATATATATATATATATATATATAATAGCTATAAACTGTAAGTTATAAATGTAATAGTTATAAATGTAATATATAGTTATAAATGCAATATATAGTTATAAATGCAATATTTATAAATGCAATAGTTATAAATGTAATAGCTATAAATGTAATAGTTATAAATGTAATAGCTATAAATGTAATAGCTATAAATGTAATAATAACTGTAAGAATAACTGTAGGAAAAACTGTAACATAATGCATCTATTATAATAATTACGATTATTGATCTTCGCAATTCGATTACTGGATTATCTCGTTATATTATTTAGTAATAATCAATCCTAATCGGACAAGTACAAGAAGTTAAGTTAACAACCTAAAAGACTATTGTTTGTTTGTTGTCGTATGTGGCTTTGACGCGAGATAATAATAATAACTATAATAATAATAATAACGATAATAATAATAATTTGACATCTTGGCATCTTGGTTCAAAATTGAATAAAAATTGAATAAAAATTGAATAAAATTGAATAAAATTGAATAAAATTGAATAAAATTGAATAAAATTGAATAAAATTGAATAAAATTGAATACGTAGAATAAATTGAATTATAATAATTATTATATTACTATAATTGCTGTACTTACCCTTATACTTATCAGTAAATTGAATTTCTATCTATATATTATGCATCTACAAAATTAAAACCTTAAGAATGAGCATCACGACACGCGCCGTTATTAATTGAATTGCTCTCAGAGAAACTCTTTTATGCTCAAAAAAAGGAACAAAGGCATTTTTAAATTCTTGTTATACAAATAAAGTAAATACCGTTGTTAATGCATAAAGGTATCTTTTCTGGAACTCTAGCCTTTAAAGAATTTCTCCTTAAGGTACAACCTAAAAAAAAGTGATTTTCTCATTCGAGCATTCGAATTCGCATTCGCACGCGTTTAATGAATTTTGAGAATCCCCCTTTTGTTCTGCACAGAGAATCAATGCTTGATTCAAGATTTATGCGGTCAGTTTTCCAAAT